TTTGTTGCACTGAATACCATTCAAGGGGTGTACATTGCCGTGTGCTTTACTTTCACAAGACGAGTAAAGATCTTGTATATGACAATGATTACTGAATCAAAGATCAATAGAAGAAACATGAGAAGAACACAAGATACTACCCAACAGTCCACTGATACTACAAGGCTGTAAACCTTTACTTGCCATGGAATGCTTGATGAGCAAAATACCTGAAGAGCATATTAACCAAGTCTAAATAGTTCAAACAATTCTTTGAAACTAATTTGCAATTGTTAATCTAGCTAGTGAAATAGGTTTTGAGATTATGTGATGTGTAAGAAAATTTAAATGTTTAATAAAAATTTGTGCTGCAAATTATATATCAGACTGTTGTCGTAGAAGTTTGATGTCCCTTTTTAATTGCGCGCACATAAAATAGATCTAGCCCTTATAAAAAATTCTCAGAATGGAGCCTTCTCAAAATTATCTTTGATACAAGACTGACATGGAAATATAAAAGAAATACCACAAATTCCATCGAGAAAAAGAGTGTTTTGTGTTCTATTTTTATGTTGGTCTCGTATCCAAGACAGTTTTGAAAAGGGTCCATTGGGTCCATTGAAAGGTTCCATATCAATAAGTGAGAGTTACACTGCGAAAGTTTATCAGAAAATGTTCGAGCAGAACCTACATTCCCTGGAAAACAGGTTTTGATGAGCAAATCATGAAGAATAAGAGATTTTACTTATAAATATGGTGGAATGATTATAGTACAATTTACTTTTATCACGCAGCATAAAAAATAATAATCTGACGGGACCAGGCTGCATTTTTTGTTTAAAAAATTTTTTCTCTCGCTTTGAACCAGTCAAACTACCAGACCCATAAAAAAATGCGAGTGTTGTGAAACAAACTTTGTCACATGCACCAAAGACCGGACCGCAATGTGAATGCTATTTTGGTGAGTTTATTATTGTCACTGATGCCTTAGCAGAGGGTTTGAATTAAATTGGCAATTCCAAGGTTGAGGAAAAACTTGAGTTTGAGTTACAGTGCTTTGTGTGTATAAATCACGAGTCGAAATAGACGCGCCATCTTGGAAATATGTCCCCCAAAAAAGTCCCACAATGCAATGTGATGCAAACTCGATCCAGTATCTTTCCTCAATCTCGGAACAGCTAATAAATGAATACAGTTGCTAGCCTCTGCTGAGCATGAGCTTTCCTGGTCATCTGGGTAGAATAGTCATCAGAAGAAATAAAAGGTTTTGACCCTTCAATAAGTGACACTTCATGGAGTTTACCGAGCGACTTTTTTAAAGTGGGTTTCGAGTTATCGGAGTAAATCCTGCCAAAGGAAAGTAAAATGAATGAAGAAAATAGCCTGGAAATCGGATGCAGTTCGAGTTAGCGGAGAGTTAATTAACCGTTAGCTGGGATTTCCTGTAGTTTAATTAGTTAAGGGAGCTTTGCTTTTAAGAAGTTGAGGAAGAGTGCATCTGATAAGATTACTTTTAAAATCATTGTTGTCTCTCTTTTTTTTCTTTTTTAGTTTTAGAAAAAAATATAAACTGACTTATAAAGTATAAAATGTATTTAACATTTGCATGTAATAGTTTAACAATAAAACACTGCAAAGTGCAATAATAAAAAAAAAACAGTCTTGCCTAATCAGGTAATATAAGACGTCCTTTAAGATCCTTGGCTTGGACAATTGGTTTTCAACCAGTATCGCAGTCCTCCTACTCCAGTATATTTTAAGACCTAAAGAAAGCTAGTGAAGTCATCATCATCAAACTATGATCACAACAAGTGAATAAATAAAGAAGATATCTACAACGAGTACAACGATAAAGAGAAATGTTCAAAATCGCAATTATTTGTATGGTTTATTCAGCTGCCAAATTACATTTTTATTTTTTTATTTTTTAGGTGATCTTAGGAATCACTCGTTTTGTTGATTTTAGGTTGCTTTATTGGAAACAAAATCCGATAAAACTAACTTCCGTGGCCAGTCTCGACCAAACCATTTAATTTATAATTAGTTTAAAATATACAACAGATTTAGTATTTTAAAGACTTCGGTTTTATTGTCTTCTATATGACACCGGAAAAACGACAATGTACATATAAAAATGTTTATTAAATCTACTTAAAAATAAACGATGGAGCATTGTATAATAATTATAGATGTACCGGTTTCCAGGATACCGATTGAATGAAGAAAGACTGTAAATTAATCTTAGGAACTGTAAATTATAGGAGCTGTCGTTTATATGATCATCCTAAATCATACTTTGGTACCATTTTAAGCCATTTTATGTTGTAAAAGAAATCTTAATAAATAAATAATAATAAATGAATAAATAAATTTGTCATGTTTGAACAACTGATTCCTGTGTTTATTGCTGCACCAATAAGATTTCTGGTTTATAGTGATGAAGTTCATACAGCCGGCCTGTCCGCTTACAGCAATTAACGACCAGCAAGAAGTTAAAGGTTGAGTTTATAATTTCTCCTATTCGTTGTTCGTAAAAACGAGTTTATTTTCAAGGATAAATCACTCGGCTTGGTAGACTTGATTTACAAAGGAAAAATGCTATTGTTTATCAAAATCAAAGCACTGTTCTTGTTGCTTGCGGCTTTAAGTTCTTCGCTACACGACACGGAAGCCCTATCCGAAAACAACGTTACCGATGATAAAGAAAAGTTTCACGTGGAAGCAGTTACCAAAGAGATACGATATGATCATGATGATAATGGCGAAAAAGGCATTCAGTTAAAAAGGGAAGCAATAGATGAACAAAGAGAGTTTCCTGATGAAAGAGCGTTGATAAGTGGAGCGAAGGTGAGTGGATTCCATCGAGTTTTATCGAGAAATGTTTTTCTCGATCGAAAATTAACAACAATGGATGAATCTTCTGGGAAGAACTCAGCAACAACAAAACACCGCCGTAATATCATTTCTCCTACAACAGAACCCCTCGTACAATCAACAGCACCACCACCATCTAAAAATCTTCCAACGACATCACCAATCACACCACGAACGACAAAACCTTTTCTCTCATCATCTACAACATCTATAACTAGCCCTCCAATGCCACCATCCACCCCTCCAACATCTACTCCAACCGCTAGACAACATTTTATTCCAAACTGTCCTTCATTGCTGTCTTGCCGAGGAAGATGTAAAGACAATCAACATCGGAATCCAAACCTGAACGCAGAATACTCGTGTTACTGTGACGACGCATGTGAAATGTTTCAAGATTGCTGCGCTGACCTTGATGTGTTCTGTCCATTGCCCAACATCAGTACTAGTGTCAGATCCAATTTGGCCTATTATC